ACACTCTGCATCATATGGTGGACACATTGAGATCCTTCAACTACTCATCCATCAATATGGTATTGATCCTAATGAAGGTGATGATAATAGTGTATCTAGTATACATATGGCATCTTATAAAGGCCACTTATCTATAGTACAATATCTAGTAGACATGTGTCACGTTCCTCCTGATCAACCAGACAATAGCAATAACACTCCATTACTGTACTCAGCAATGGGGGGCCATTCCAACCTAGTGGAATTTTTTATTGAGAGAAAGTGTGATGCTTCACGTATTAATAGTGAAGGTGCATCTTTATCATTGCTAGCTTGTCAAAGTGGAAAGTTAGCTTTAATTCACAAACTTGAAAAGCTAAATCTTTTCTCATTAAGTTCAATTGATGCTGATGGATTTAATGTGCTACATTATACAGTTAAACATAACTCTATTGAGCTTTACCAGTACCTTTTAACTCTAGCCATTAACATGAAGAATCCAAATCGCCAAACTCCACTTATTAGAGCCTCATGGCATGTGTCATCATCAGTTATTAAGTATATTGTTAGTATTCAAGGTATTGAGTCTTTATTAGCTACTGATGATCATGGTTGGTCATGTCTTCATTCAGCATGTAGTTCGATTAGTTTTGCTAAAGCTGGTATGGTGTATCATAAAGTTCTTGAGCAAAATGATGCACCAATTATTTGTAGTAATAATACTTATATAAGGTTTAATATTGATTTCATCAGTAGAAAAAAAAGAATACAAATGTTTTATTCACTTCTGAAGAAAGCTAGTAATTTCCCTAACTTTAAAATCAATGCTGTTACAAATGATGGTAATTCATTACTTCATATTGCTTCATGCAGTGGCAGTACATTACTAGTGAAAGCATTAGAAAAATATGATATCAAATGTACATTAGATAATGATGGTAGGTCTCTAGTACATTATGCTGCCTGGTCAGGTTCTACTAGTGTATTAAGTTATATCATATCTCAGTATAATCTCAGTGCTAATGATACTGATACTTATGGTTGTACACCATTAGTCTACTCCTGCTGGTCAGGTAGTATTAATTCTGTTAAATATCTTATTAATAATCATAACAGTGGTCCTAATATCACTGATAAGTATGGTATGACATGTCTTCATCATTCTTGTCGTCATGGTCATTTTGATATCACTCATTATCTCATTGAGGTACAGCATTGTGATATTAATAAAACAGATAATGAAGGACGCACATTAGTACATCATGCTGCATGGAGTGGTAACTTTGATTTAGTTCAGTATCTTATTACTGAACAAGGTTTGTCTCCTACTGCAGTTGATAAAAATGGCCTCACTGCTTTACATTATGCTTCATGGTCTCTTAACTTATCTCTTGTAAAAGAATTAATAGCTACCTATCAGTTAGATCCTCATCAAGCTGACAGTAATGGTAAGCTACCAATTCATTATGCTGCTGAATCTGGTGATATTTTACTACTGGAATTATACATGAAGAATTACAAGTGTAGTCTAAGCCTAACAGATAACAGAGGTTGGAATGTTATTCATTTTTCGTCACTAAAAGGTCACACTCACTTAATCAAGCATATCACCAGTCAGTATCCTCAATACATTAGTTTACTACACTCTACTGACAATGATGGTAGCCTAGCATTACATTTAGCCTGTCAGAGTGGTAATATTCAATTAGTGACTTTTCTAATAAGTGACATGAAGTGTGATGTCACTGCTACTGATACCTTATATGGTAGTAATTGTGTCATGTTTGCCTGTTTCTCAGGTAATCTTGATCTAGTACAATTACTGATACAACAATACAAGCTTGAGCCTATCAATATTAATAACACTGGTTACTCAGTATTACATGCAGCAGCACAGAATGGTCATACTCATATGCTGAAATGGTACAGTCAGGAGTATAGTGTGGATATTACTAATCACACTAACAATAACAAGTACACACTAGCTCATTTAGCTGCTAATGAAGGTAAGCTACATTGTCTACAGGAACTGATCAACAAGTATCAGTGTGATGTTAATGCTACTACTACTAATGGTAGTACAGTTCTTCATAAAGCATGTGAAGTAGGTCATGTTCCTGTTGTACTTTATCTCACTAGTCTTCCTCAATGTAATGTAGCAGCTAAGACTTCTAATGGATCAACAGTTCTTCACATTACCTGTGGGCACAGTGACTCTCTTCCTATACTAAAACATCTGGTAGAGAATCATCAGTTAGATCTTTGTGCTGTAAACGATGAGGGAATGGCTCCTATTCACTTAGCATGTAGTGAGGGAAGAGTGAACTTGGTTCAGTACATTATAGAACACATACCATCATCACTTGAACTACCTGACAGAGGACAAGGTTGTACTCCATTCCTTACTGCAGTACACTTCAATCAGTTAGAAGTTATTAAATATCTTATTAGTAAGAAGTGTAATCTATCAGCTACTGATGATGAAGGGTCTGGAGCAGTTCACATATCAGTAGAGAGGGGTCACTTGAATGTATTAAAATATCTCATTGATAATAATTATTGTAATCCTAATGTAATCACTCATCAAGGGCATACACCACTACATGTTGCTGTATTAGTTGATAGATTAGAAATAATAGAATATTTACTGAAAAGAACCATCCCCTCAGTGAGTGTGGCCTGGATACGTAACACTAAGTGTTTATTAGACAATCCAAAAGATTTACATTCTGATAATGTGCACGTTAATGCACAGGATATTGCAGGTAACTCACCACTCCATTTAGCTTGTAGAAAAGGACAACAAAGTATGGTAAAACTATTATCAAGAGCTATTTTTTCTGCTAGATGTCTGTTATTAGCTAACATGGAAGGACAGACACCATTACACTTAGCAGTTGCTAGAGGTCATCAAGAGAGTATAGAGGCTTTACTGTCCTCAGTCACTGGTAGTTCTACTCATCATGATCTCCTTACAGCTACTGATAATGAAGGATCCACTGTATTTCATACAGCTTGCAGTAATGGCCATATTGATGTGTTTCATTTTTTATCCAGTATTTATCCTCAAGGTGTTAATGTAATGGATAATAGAGGACGTGGTTTACTTCATGCAGCATGTGAGGGATGGGATATTGAAATAGTAAAAGAGTTAGTTGAGAAATATAAACTAGATCCTAATCTGAAGGATAAAGATGGCATCACATGCTTACACTTATTAGCAGAGAGAAAGGGAGTTGGTCTATTACAGTTTGGAATGGATATGAGAAATATAGAGATGTACCAGTACTTAAAACGTCATGTTACTAATCCAATACCTAAAGACAAGTCTGGTCGCTCTCCTCTTCATTATGCTTGCAGAGCAAATAATATTCCTATTGCACGTTTTCTAGTAGACACTATTCAATCATGTAGTTCTGATGATCCTGATAATAATGGATACACTTCAGTTCATGCCGCATGTGAAGCTGGTAGTATGGAGTTAGTATATTACTTTTTAAATATTTTAAAATGCAATGCTAATGCTGAAACAAGTGACTTTAAAACCCTAATTTATTTTGCTGGTAAAAGTGCTAACTTGGAGCTTGTCCAGTTTCTAGTTGAAAGATATAATTTAAAACCTCGTCTACATGATATTGAAGTAGCTCGGGCCACTAGTCCTGATTCATCAATAGTTAGGTATCTTGAAAAGGTCCATCATGATATGATTCTTGATATGGTGAAAGAGCAAAGAAGAAAGTTTTCAAAGTGAACAACAACAGGTGCAGGTATTGAGGAACATCACAGCACAAAAAGAATCAAATTAGGAGAGGATGAGGCATATAAGGAATGACAATCATGTTTCAAATGACTTCACTTTCATTCTTCTATACTTGATAAGGCACACATCTTCCTTTCTTGCTCTCTGGCCAACATCCACTCTACCTTAATTTCCTTATTTCTCAAACCATGCAAGCATTACAACAAATAAAGTATCATTATCATAATTTTAATATCACAGTATTCATTTTTGTAATACATGGTTTCTAAAAATGGTTATTTTATTTTCTTACTATATTATTTTTTACCTTTGCTTGACAAGGGATCCTTCAATGGTTTCTAACATTAGTTTAATGCATCACATTCTACATCTTTTATACTTGACATGTGTACATACTTGTATGTACATGTATTGTATTTAAATGTGTTTACTTTTTTCTTTTTCTCTCTACCTTGAACCTTCTCTTTATACCAATTATTGCTGTTGCTGTTACTTATATATTATGATGTAATAATTGCTTTTTATAATTTTGCACATGATCCATGCATATAAGTATTATGCTCAATTTTTAATATTTTGATAAAATTATTATTAAAAAATAAATTTTTAAAATTAAAAAA